GCTGGCATGGAAGGGACTCTTAAAAGAAACAAGGCGCGCCAGTATCCTGAAATGATCTGTGTACAAGTGACCCAGGGACAGACTGTTTTAAATTATTCATCTGAAAGCAGCCAGTGGTTTGGAGCAGACCCTCACTCCCCTGGCTATCCTGTGAAGCTCCTTTTATAATGCAGAAAGTAAATAGAGCACTGTCAAGGCCAGTGTGCTCACAGTAGACCATGGCATAACTAGTGGCAAAAGTGAAGGCTGTGAATTTTCCATGAGAAACTGCAGAAAAACAAACCAAAGCAGGAAGGCTAACCCCAAAGGATCCTAATTTAGAAGAAGGAAGAAATAAGGGTGAGAGCACATTCTGGAATCTAGGACACACTCAGTTGGGATTTCCTGACTAAGCGGGGAGTGTCATAGGTGTTCCCTGAATACATGTGTGGTCTTACAGCACAAGCAGGGGTCCAGGCCCCTCAGGGAGAATGCTGCTCAGTAACAGAGGCTCCACTTGCGATGGGGCATGGCTGCTCACCATTTTGCCACTGTGTTACAATCTACTGAGCAGGACTCTAGAGAATGCTTGACTCTTTCAGGGTGGAGGAGTTTCTGGAACAGTCTGTGGATGTTTTAATAGCTGTGTCTTGCACTCTGAAAAACCAGGACAATGGAAGATGGGTGGAATCTTAAATCATTGTTCATCATGTACCTACTCTTGTCTCTTGATCATGCAAAGAGAAGGAATATCTCGGGAAACAAAGAGACTCTTCCACCCAAAATTTCAATTTCAACGTGAAAACTGCCAAGGTTTTGTTGAGTTAGCTTGTTTTAGTTTTTCAGCAGAGACTACTTTACCTATAAAGTTCATCTCTTCCTGTCAATGTGCTGGCCTGCAGCAACTGGTGGAGGAGAGAAGGGTGCAGAGATCTGACTTGTGTGTGGATAAATACACACAGAGTATAAGATTTTTGGTCAAGCAAAACAATCCCTTTAAATCCCTTAGTGGGTTTGATACAAATGAGTATAAGCCAATTCCCAACAGACCCATGTATTGGTGAAAAGGTTTGAGTGCCATATTGGAAGGCGTCCCATTCTCCAGGCAGATAGGGGAGTGGGACGCCCCCAAGCGCACCTTGTAGCAGCCCTCATCCTGAAGCATCCTCCTCCATACCCCCACATGTCGCTTGCCATCAGTGACCCAGCCTCTTTTGTCCAGTCCTTCCTCTGGATTCCGGCATCACATAGAGTCTCCTCTATGATGCCTCATTCTCTTTTATGCTCTTTTGGCATTAAAAAAAAAAAAGCAAAAAATTATGAGTCTTTGCTTCCCAAGCACTCTGAAGGGCCTTGGTGGCAGACACCTTTTTCTATCCATCTTTATTTCCCAAAGGCTTCAGTGTGGTTTCTGGGCACCTAGTAAACCCTCTTCTTGAGTCATGCTTAGTGGATTGGTTGGTGGATTAGCAGAGACTGCTCTTTGAAAAACTTTGTCTTTCAGCCTTCTTTTTCCAGGTCATACCTATTATAGAAAATGTAAAGCCCCAAATTTTAGATCACTACATCTTGACATTCATGAGAAGCCCCACAAGTTCCCACTAAAGTGCTGAGCCAGTGACACAGGCAAACAGCTAGGAAGTACAGTTAGCCAACTAAGGTCTGCTCAGGGCAGACCCTACGTTTCTGTTGGAATGGACAGTGTCTTGCCCACCTGATAACCTGAAGGCAGACTTGGCCCTAATACAGTGTCTTGAGTCAGCATTCAGGCTGGCCTGAAAATGAAACCACAGAAGGCCCCAGAAGGAAATGGACTCCTGTGAGCACAAAGATTGAAAGTGGGAGTCATGTGAGTGGTAGGAGCTGCTCACCACCTGTGTGCTTGTCAAGGTGTGGCCCATTCCTCTCTGCCTATCCCACCTGATCCTCACAAATACACCCACCTCCTTAAAGACAATCTTGGAAGGCCTTATCCATGTTTTTTCCATTTAAACAAAATTCTAAGTCCCTGTTCCTTTCTCATGCTGCATCCTGGTTCTATTCTCACTGCCCCAGCAGGCACACCATCCTATAGCTACCATCTCCATGTTCCAGGAGGGGCTGCTGTGTACTCTGCCTTGAGCTCCTACTTCGTTCTTCTTCTTCCTATTTCACAAGAGAGCCAATACCTCCCCCTCCACACCCCTGGATTTCCGCTTGGCCACTGCCTGGCCTTCCTTTGCCTTTTATTTACTAAAACTGTAGAACCCACTGGGAGAACCACATTCCTTCCTGCCAGCATCCTGAAGACACAGGCAGTTTACCTACTGGGCTCAGCAGAAAAGGAAAGTGGCCCATGAAGGGCAAAGAGGTTTTTGAGAGAGAAAGCTCTTAATCAAACACACATATCAAGAATATGAGCAAAGGGACTAGAGAAAATTGCTGTTAAAGTAAATTGCTTTTTGTACAAATGTTCCTTTTATTTGGGTTTTCCCCAGTGTGCCATTCTTGCTTTAGAACTTGGTGAACAGATGTGCTTTTGAAAATGTTGATTAACTTATCCTTTTTTCGACCCCTTCCTACTCACCCAAACTCTTGAGAGCAATGATTATACAAAAAAGCCAAGTTAAGCGGCTAAAGTGTTCTTCCTCACCTTAAGTGGCCTTTGATTCTCCAGGTGCAGAAATATCAGCTGCATCTGAACCCTTGATTCCATAGAAACTTAAAAATGGGCCAATTCTTGGAAGTCATCTCATCCAGTCCTCTGCCTCCAGAGACAAGAGGCTGTGATCTCCTGGGATAAAATGTTCTCACAGTCATTATCATCCATTTATCCTTTTTCCTTCAAAATCAATGCCACATCCGTCCCTTTCCAGGGCATGATCAATAGTGTCCTAAACCTTCTTCCTGGCGCATGTGAGATGGCTTTCCAGCCTTTGACAACTTGTCACATCCTTGGGAGAGACTAAACCCCTAAAAGAAAGAATAGAATTTGGCAGGAGCCTTGCAGTTCTTGTTTGAGTCTGATTCACATATTCTTATCCAATGTTCAGCATCTTTTAACCGCGAAGATATTAAGACATATGAGCATCCTGTCAAAACTACTAATTGTCAGAAATGTGACAGTTTGCTTCCACAATCTTTATTTCATAAGTTTTAAAAAAAAGCACACTGGGTTGACTTTCATAAGCTCAATTGATCCCTGTGACAGACACCACCTGCCTCTTGTGAGATAATATTCACATCTTCATTCCAAAGAAACAGCTTGCTTTGTAGGTGCCCAGAAAAGAATGCAAGAAATGGGCATTGAGGTGGGAAAGCTGGCATTCACCGCAGGTGCCAATTACTATGCTACAAACATGCCAGGTATGGGCTGGATCTATGGAGGACTGGTGCTACACGGCACTGGTCTTTTCAAGTGAGACCTTGGCAACTGGTTCTGTGCATCCCTTACTAGAGACTGAGAGGACGAGAATGTGCTTTAGCACTTTGACCAAGAATAAAGAAGTCCTCTAATATGACTTAAACCACCAGCTTCAGAAAAAAAACCTGAATTTTAAGTGTAATAGTGATAGGTCAATCATTAGTTCAATTTGTGGTCAAGTAGAATGTCCCTGAGATATAGTGCCAAGGAATAAGATGCTCAGGGTGGTTAAAGTTCTTTGTGTCCTCTCATTTGGTGCTTTCACTGTTGGGGGTTTTGAGTGATGTCTTCAAAACTGTGCATATACTTTGGTTGAAGAGAACCCCTAAAGGGCCATATGTATTCACCAGGACTATATCGAGCTCACAGCCTGAAAGGTCATAATTACCTTAACAGATAGTCTTTGTCACATACTGATTCTCTTTTTCAGTATTTTACTTTTTTTTAATTAAATAATTGAATTTATTGGTACATTTTAGGGATACAGTACAGTTACATTCATTGTTGGGATTTGTACCTCTACATGACAGGTCTTGGTTCTCATTTTTTCCCCTTTTCCCTGCCCTCCCTTCACCCCCTCCTCCCCTCCCCATTTACAAACTCTTTATTTCCATCTTTTCATTTTCTCACATTTTTTTCTTTTCCCTCATTACCCTTCCCCTACCCATCCCACCTTCCCTATACCTTTAGCCCCTTGCTTCCCATTTCACATTGTCAGTTATCTTATTAGGATTTTATATACTATTACAGTTTATTCACACCAGAGAAACTATTCGGTATTTACACATGTGTGACTTATTTATTTCACTTAGGAGTATATCCTCAATTTTTACTTTTTTGGACAGCTAATTTATTGGCTCTTGTTTCTGTAAGATGGACAGTACTGTGAATAGAAAGACTTGTATTACTCACCCCTCAGAAATTATAATAAAAGAAGCAAAAGACAGGCAGTGATAATACTCGGGGGGGGGTTCATCATAAATTAACTTGGCTCTCTTCCTGTCTGGGCTCATCAGAGTGGATGCCCATGTTTGATCTATTCTACACTGCAAGGAAAGCCAGTAGGAAAAATAGGCAGGGGCGGCGGAGGGGGGGGATCGAGAGATGTTAACACAATATGCGAAGGTGTGATTTTTCTTTCCAGTTCTCAGAATGATGAAACATGACTTCATTGAATTAACATCCATTTATTCAAAATCCAGAGGAGAAAGACTTTGGTACTTTTTTTCCACTTAGGTGTGTATACATGAGGAGATGCAGTGGAGGTCATAATGGCAACTGAGGATACATAGAAGATGCCACTGAGGGTGCCTTAGATAAACCCAAGTCTAAGTCGGTAATGAGTGACAGTTATTTCAAAGGCACGAGTGACAGAGTTTACTTGACACTAAAACCTGGCCTTTCTTATTATTTCTGTTTTCCAAGTTGTTGTTAGAAGTAAAGATAGAGAATGTGCAGAAGAGATTATTCACTAATGCATAGCTAGTTGATCTAGAAGTGGAGATGCTTCTCTTGCTGCCTGTCATAGTGGGGAGTCATTCTCTAAAAAGTTGTGTCTTTGTCTTTCTGTTATAATGGTAGAACTTGTTGCAACTAAGTTTGTTTGTTTTCCTTATAGTGAATATCCCAGAGATACATGGGAGAGAGGGCTATGAAGATGAAATTGATGGTGAGTATTGCTGTGATTTAGCAGATAATCATGGAATTCAAGTTTGGTTATAAAGATATCAACAAAAAGAATGCCCAGAGTATTGGAGGAACAGAATTTAGAACTATCAGGCAGAAATAGAAATGGAAAGAGTCCAAAGAATGAAGAAATCATCAATTGTTTTGCCAAGATCAAGTGTAGAGATTTAGAAAGTTTGTTGAGTCCCCTCTGCCTAATCTGAAACAGACCTCCTAATTCAAGTAACTTTGTACATCATTGGGCTTTGAATCTGGATAAACTCTCTAAAAGTAAAAGCTGAGTTCATGTATACCAGTCACTAACTGAACCCAGTGACCTCCTCCCAAAACAGGCCTTAGTGAATGAGTGTGGATGTGGATATTCTCCCAGGTCAGCTGTGGTATTTGGTTCCTCCAGCTTGGGCGACACCTTTGTCACACTATTCAAGACTACAGTCTTTCTTATTAAAGACTTGGTCATCTTTTTACACTTCAAATCTCCTATTTTCATATTTATTCTCAGATCTATTCCTGTACTTCTAGTGCACAAACCTAAGGAGGCTGAAACAGCTGTCTTAACTGTAGGGCAAATGGAATTTCTCCCACCCATTCAGACCAGTGCAGGCCTCCCTGGGCTTCTGTGAGCTCCAGCATTGGTGTCCATGAGCCTCACCAGCAAGCATCCACTCAGAGCACAACTTCAGACTAAGACTGATGCTTCCAAGAAGAGCAGCCAGCTGCTTTTAACCTGACCTTAATCAAAACCTTCAAGTGTAGTTATAGAAACCAGAGTGACAGAACCAAACAGCACCTTGTTAACCGGCTGCAGGCTCTCCCTGCCAAACCCAGTCCACCTCTCCTTTTATGGGCAAGAGTGTGTGACTGGCCTTTGTAGGCAGGCTGCAACAGATCAAGCAGCAGAAGCGCCTGATGAAACAAAAAGTGTAAGGAATCGGGATCTAGAAAGCCTGATTCCTGTTCCTACCTTAACTGCTTGCTAACTCTGTACCTTGAGTGAGTCACCCGATTTCTTTAGGTTTTCTCACCCACTAAAAACATGTTACTATCACCCTGCCTTCTTTATGAGGTTCTTAGGAGATTCCAAAGACATGGACCCTGGGCCCAGTCAGGACTTGGTTATACATTACAGAATTGAAAGGATTTTGGTTTTCTAGACCTCCACAGTACCACAAACTCCACAAACTTGGTAGCTCCCACCACAGATATAAATATTCTCAAGATTCTGGAGGCTAGAAATCCAAGAGCAAGGTGTGGGTTATTGGTTCCTCCTGAGGACTAAGAGAAAAGGGTCTGTCCAAAGCCTCTCTGGCTGGTAGATGGCCATTTTGTGTTTATACTGTGCATCCTTCAAGGCATGTCCATGTCTAAATTTTACCTGGTAACGAGCACAACAGTCCTATTGGATTAGGGCCCACCCTCGTGGCCTCATTTTAACATGATTACCCTGTCACCCAGTGAGATGACATTCTGAGGTAGTATTGGGGTGACATGCACTGGAGGGGGCAATTTAACCCAAAGGAGTACAGTTTGCATATCGTGGGAGGTCTGGTGCTTGATGTATGGCCAGGAATGCTGACTCAGGAAGCTTGTCATGTAAAAAGACTTCAATTTACCTTGAAGCAGTTGAAAGTGAGGAATATGGGGAACACTAAGCCATCACATGTGCTCCAATGACACCTCTTAAAATCTGATTATCAATCCCCTAGCATTGTTAGCAATTCAGTGAGATGCAATCCACTGGTAACACACCTGCCTAGTATGTGCCAGGCCCTGGGTTTTATCCTCAGCACCACACAAACAATCTGTGATTACCTATCTAATGTAAACCAAATTATTAAAATGCCAAATATTTAATACTTACAATCTGCTATATGCCAAGCATTTGACAAATAGTTCACTTAATTTCCCTAACAACACAGTGAGGTCAATTTTATTAATGCCCTCATTTTACACATAGGAGTACAGAGGCAGACTTAACCAGCCCAAAATGACACTGCCAGGATATAGCAAGGTTGGACTTGGAACCCAGTCTAGTTCCTGGGGTCCTACTACTCACTCCTATGCCTCAGAGCTGGGAGCCTCAGTCATTTCTCCCTGAAATAAGCAATGCATGCAGAGTCTTGTGTTTTATGCCATAGATGAGTATGAGGTGGACTGGAGCAACTCCTCATCCCCAACCTCAGGGGCTGGAGACCCCTCGGCAGACAAAGAAAAGAGCTGGCTCTACACACTTGACCCCATCCTCATCACCATCATCGCCATGAGCTCGCTGGGTGTCCTCCTGGGGGCCACCTGTGCGGGGCTCCTGCTCTATTGCACCTGCTCCTACTCAGGCCTGAGCTCCCGAAGCTGCACCACACTGGAGAACTACAACTTCGAGCTCTACGATGGCCTCAAGCACAAGGTCAAGATGAACCACCAGAAGTGCTGCTCAGAGGCGTGATGGATTGCACCTGAATCACACCTGACGTTTCATTCCAGCAAGAAGGGCTGGTGAAGATTACATTTTTTTCCCTTTGGAAACTGAATGCCATAATCTCGATCAAACCGATCCAGAATACCGAAGGTATGGACAGGACAGACAGGTGAATGGAGAGAGGAAGGAAGATGTAGCCTCAGAGGGGATCATAACCCACCTAGGACCATGGTGGTTGAGTCATTGCAAAACAGGGCCACATGCTCCGCTGGGACAAACACGGGAGCTCATCTCTTTGTGGTCATAGTTCTACTTCGTTTGTGAGCTTGTCATTCTTATTAATTATATTTCATTTCTTTGGTCTGTAAACAACTCAAAGAGGCAGAAGAGAAGAATGACTTCTTCAACAGAAAAGAGGGACAGTGATCAATGGATACTCTCTGCTTTCTCTTTCTAATCAACACTTGAAAAGCAAAGGGTCTTTTCAGCCTTTCCATCTTTAGAAATAAAACTTTAAGAAAGCCACCCAGCTTATCCCTTCCTCTGATGGTCTTAGGATTTAAGGGATTTGCTGTGGTATGCATTCTGCCATCCACCCCTCCAAGCTGCCATTTCCGGTCCTAGCATCTAAATAGGATGTTGTTGCCTTTAACTTTTTTATCCAGGGGAAAATTGCCATTTTAGGGTCAGCTTGAGCAGCTCTTTCTTATATAGGAATTTAGAGAAGCAAGAAAAGAAACTTCACACTTCAAAACCCATAGGTGCACCTGCATGTTAGAAGTGGACAAGCCTTAAAGTGCTTTGTGAATAGGAGCCATTTGTTGAACTTAGACCCAGAGCTTGTGGCTGTGGGGTGTCCCTTTGGGGGCCTCTGCTGATGGTTTTGCCTTTTCTTTTCCCTCTTCCATGTTCTTCTAGAGTCTATATATATTTACATGTGCGTGCAGCACATGCCCACACACACTCATGCACACACATTTTTCAGGTCTCTAAGTGCCAGGAAATAGCAGTGTTTGATATTGTCAGAGGCAGGTGAGAAAAGATGGGCCCTTGGTATGTTTTCTCCATCAGTGAGGTGTTAGCTGGTGAAAAGAACAGCTGGAAAAGGATGGAGGAGACACCTGAGCTTTGGGTTAATGCACGGGCAAAGGCTGAGCAGTATGGACAGAGACATTTTGATTTCTCCTTTGGGCAACTGCCACCACTCCAGCTCTTGGGAGAGTCAGGGCACAGATGTGCAATAACTGGTTCTAACTAGAAGTCTGTAAATACTGGGGCCTGAGCAGCTCGCTAACTGCTTCAGCCCCAGAGAGGCTTAGATTCTTATTCATACATGTACCTGCACCCCCCCACATCAATTTATGTGTTTTTTATTAAGTGCCTTGAAAAAAATGAAGAAAAATGTACTCTCCCTCTGCGTAGAAATAATGACTATCTTAAAAGTTAAGGCATCCCTCCTTCCTAACCTCAATGGCTCCATTCCCTGTTCCCTAGACTCACTGCTGATCCTACTGATGGAATGAGCCCCACTACCCAAAGGGTAGTCTTAGCCCTAGATGAGGCTCAACTACTCCAGAAAGAGAGGCATTGGGAATAGAAGGAAACTATGTAAAGGATAAAATTGTCCACATCAAGATTCAAGTCTTGATTTTGTATTAATGCCTAAGAATTGCCTGTGTGCTGGAAATACATCAAAAATCCAACCAGGATGTCCAGCCTGTTGCATATCAAAGGCAACCGGTCAGACCATTTTTGCTGCTATGGTCACCCACAATTCCATTTGTCTCACACCCAGGTGAAAGGGAAAGGGTGAATGGCACCGGCTAGTTCCTTTACATATTAATTTATGAAAATGCTAGTTCAAATGGTGATGTCACAGTGTTTCGTATGCAGAGAGGGAGAATTCATATTGACAGCTATTTATTCACATGTGTGTGTCTTTGCGCGCCTTTGAGCTCTCTGTGTCTACTGTGTATGTGAATGGTCACGTGGGACTCAGTGGTGGTGTTGTGATGTTGACCTAGGGCCCGAGTGTAACTTCTGATCTCAGCACTCGTTGGCACAGTGATAGTTAGAGGTGAAAAGTAAAGCTGTTGAGCCCCCAAGGCTTTAGTGTTAGATGCCCTCTGAGCTGGGCACACAGTAGAAGCAAGTTTTTAATTAGCTCACCCTCCTCTTCACCCTCCCACAAAGCTCAGTGTTCAGAAAGCTGCCAAGTTCCAGGGGTTTCCAAAAGAGAAGTTCTAAACCCTGTCTGGGGGTCCTAGCTCTCTCATGCCCAGTGGGCCATTTTATATTAGTTCCCCAAAGACCATTCCTGTCTCAGACCAAAATTCACCTCTAAGTTATTACAGCTCAGCCTGCCTCCTTCTCAAAGTCCTACAGTGGTATTCACCACTGGCTGATTTGTGGCCCTCAGTGAGCCCTGAGTACTGAACAGAAGCAGGGTCCCCACTGTAGGTAGATACTCCATCAAAGCTGGGTCCAACTCTGACCTAGCCAGGGGATGGATGACTTGGTGCATTTATTATCTTTGTCTGCAGGTAGGTGAGCTGACCCATCTCCTTCAGTTGTTCCCTTTGTGAAACCCAACTCACAGTATTGATATCCTTTTTGCCTTGTACTCAATGACACATTACCTCCACGCTCTCCCAGACCAGGCAGTTAACAGGGCCACAGGGTTGCTGTCTCTCTTTGGAGGAGTTGGGGAGCTGTCAGGGATGAGGGTCCAAGGAATGAGCATGAATGACAGACAAGGAAGCAAGGGAAAAAGTTAGACTTACACAGAAAGTTAACTTTCCCAGCCTTTGTTTGCAGTTAAAGGTATTCGACCATTTGCTGGCTGAGCCAGATAACGGGAACTTGAGAGCTTTTACTGTGATTCTTCAATGTAAAAAATAAACAACGTCAAACTGTGTTTATATGATTTGTATAAAGCCTTTTTAAGATTACTATTTAAATAAACATTATACCAGAAATATTCTTCTGCACTGTCTTTATTGGAGACAAAATGACTTGGGACTTAGGTGACCAAGCCATCCCAGGGTTTTGTAAACTTTACTTGACTTTAGCAGCAAAAGTCTCATATCCTGGGAAATACCTTGTCATAATCCACTTGGGCTATTACAACAGAATACTGTAGACCTGGTAGCTTTATGCTCAACAGTTCTAGAGGCTGGAATGTTCAAGACTTGGTATCTAGAAAGGGACTCTCTTCTGCCTCATAGGTACCTGCCTTCTCTCTGTGTTCTCATCTGGCCCTTCTGTGGAGAGAGTAAGTTATCTGTCTGTCTTGTTATTCCTGTAAGGGCCCCAGCCCCTTCATAGGGGTCAGTCCTAACCTTGCGGCCTAATCTAGTCCTAATAAACTCTCAAAGGTTCTACCTCTTCATGCTCTAGAAATGGCAGCTGGGCTTCAAAAAAAAAGAAACATCCCTCAACCCAGGTAAACTAAGATGATTGGTCATTCTCTTGACAATATTTCTCAACATTGGAGTTAGTAGGGTGGGTAGGCTTTTCATAAAAAAAGAAAAAGGTATTTTGGAGATTGGTGAGGGACCATCTGGCCAGGTGGGCTACTATAAGTCTTGCCTAATAGACACCAGAGGCTGTGATGCCTACAAACACTCCTCCTCTCTGGACAATGCCACATCCTACAGTTTTAGAAGCTTTGCTCCTTCCTTTCTGTTCAAACTCTTGATTATGGATGTCTCTGGTGATTCTAGCTTTTATGACACTGCTTCTCAAAGTGTGGTCCTGGGTCAGAAGAATTAACATATTTTGGGAACTTATCAAAGATGCATGTTCTTAGGCTCCATCTTCATTATACCAAATCAGAAACTCTAGGGCAAGACCTAGGGATCTGTTTTTCTGCAGGCCCACCAGAAAATGCTGATGCATTTTCAAGTAAAAGAGCCACTAGTCTAACAGAAGCTGCCTTGAAGATCTTTTACCTGTTAATTACAGGATCCAAAACAAATCAGACTTTGGCCAATGAATGCTAATGGTAGCTGTGCGGGGGGGGGGGGG